TGATTTCTCACTTTCTGTCTCTCTGTCTCTCTCTGTCTTTCTGGTGAGCGCATGTGCCCTATAGCAAAAACCTCTCAAAAAAAAAAAAAAAGTCAAACATTTTCTTTTTTTCCAAAGGGTGTAAAGCCTGTATATGTGTATTTTCCTGAAGCACTCTGGTTTAACTTTTTTTTTTTGGTTTAACTTTTATACAGTATTTATTTTAGGTATTTTTATAGGAACAAATAATGTAAATACATTAATTTAGAGGTTTATGGAACCTTTTAAAACTATTTGTATGTGACTTATAAAGCCTTGGACTATATATATCTGATAACTTGTTTTTTGGGGAAGCTCTTCGTTGAAAGTTGTTTGCTTTTCTCGAAATGTAGAATTAGCCATATATAGATTTAAATATTTAAAATTAGAGATGCAAATTTTTTAAGAAGCAGAGTGAATTTGTTTTATGCAAATTTTTAAGTTATTAGAACAAATAAATCCCTACAGTGATGTTTCTTTAGAGCAGAATATAATAAAGATTACTATATATAATCCATGAGACGGTACTTAATCTTGCAAGAAGCAGAAATCCTACTTAAGCTAGCTCAAGTATAAGATTTATAGTGGGGATATACATGAACAGTCAAAGGAAATAGCATGAAAATCCACAAACAGCAACTGTGGTAACACTGGACTTCATGGAGAAATTTAGGATTCAATTGTAGGAGTTTGACATTTCAGCCCAGTGTTGTGCCATTCCCAGGACTTAATATTCTATGGGATGTTTTTGTCTTATTAAGAAGTAGCTTCCAAAAGGATTTCAGGTGGGCCAGCCATGGCATGGGGGTTAAGGCAGCTGGATCCCACCTGGGTCGACTGTGCAGTTCAAGTCCGAGACCCAGTGGTTTCCCCTGATCCTCTCCCTACTAATCCCTATTACCCACCCACTATTACCCACCCCCTATATTGTCTCTAGTATCTACAGTTACCTTTATACCTTCTAATCTTTCAGTTTTTGCTACAGAGTGCAGACATTCGGTATATATTCAAAAAATATGGAATGATTAATGATTTTATGTGTACTTACTTTGCAAAAGGGCCATAGTAATCTTCTCTGTATTGTTCCAATTTTAGTATATGTGCTGCTGAAGAAGGCACTGTGTGATCAGTTTTTAAATGATCAGTTAGTTATGATGAGGGGAAGTGATATTAAGAATTATTTATTTTAGTGGTTATTGTTTCTTAAACAATTAAGTGAGTGGTTTTCAAACTATATTCTGCAGAGATGCTTCATAAATTTCCATAGTAGCATTACATTTCATTGCTTAATAAAATAGAACTTTTTTTTTTTTGGAGGTTTTTGCTATAGGGCATGTGTGCTCACCAGAAAGATGGAGAGAGACAAAGTGACAGAAAGCAAGAAATAACTCCTAGGGGGATGACCACATCACAGTCTCTTCTCCTCCAGTCTCCTCTTGGGATCTTGGGCAAGCATGCACATATGCCTGGCATGAGTTTTAAGCCACCAGGTCCAGGACTTGAGCTGCGGTCAACTACATGGAAGTTCAGCGACATAGCCTTTATGCCAACTGCTGGTCCCACAAAATAGAACTTTTAAGATAAAATAAAAATACATTAAATGATTATATCAGATTTTAATACATTGTAGTGAGTGAATGTATTTATAAAGTTGAACTTTTGAAATAAGTATACACTATATTGATAAATGCTGCTTTTTTTTTGTTTGTTTTTGGAGAGGTTTTCGCCATAGGGCTCATGCGCTTGCCAGACAGAGAGAGACAGAGAGATAGAAAGTGAGAAATCACCCCCCAGGCATGAGTTTTTTTAAGCCACCGGGTCCGGGACTCGAACCGTGGTCGACTACGTGGGAGTCCAGCGACATAGCCATTACACTATCTGCTGGTCCTGATAAATGCTGCTTTTATAAGTTTTGCATACATATTGGAGTTTATGTAAGTTTTTTATTTAAATAGAATCACCCTTCCTGTTCTTCAATTCTATGGATGCTTTGTTAATTTAAGTAAAGTTTGGATTACAACTTCCCATGTCTCCTGAAATGTATCACTTACTCCCAGTTGTGTAATTGAAGCATTTAACTGGTTTGCTGTATGCTAGCAGAGTCAAGTACCACCTTGTTGGCAGAAGTTTATTGAAAATCTTGCTCTTCTAGACATAATTCCTCATTTCATTCTTGGAGGGTATACTCTGCCTATGCAGCTCCCAGTCAGAACAGCAATGATGAGGTGACAGGTGCATTGTCTGGAGACGGCTGACCTTCTGGTTGAGAAGTGTGAGGAGGAGGGCTGTGACAGAAGATTGGTGCAATGAGTAGTGTATTTGTCTGTGTGAGTTTGTATATGTATATCATTGTGTGTATGTGGATGTGTGAGAGAGAGGGGAAGAAGAGAAGGAGGGGGAGAGGTTCATAGGATATACTGCTTGAGCATTTTATTCAGTTCTTCCTAGGTGTCTTCCTTTAAATATCTTTCTGTTATTATTTCGAAGTTAGCTAGTGACTTCTGATACATGAATTTTCTCCGAGGTTTTAAATGAAGGCCAGTTCAGGTCCCCAAGATTTTTTCCATTTTGATAATATTTAATTAGTCACTTTTGGTCTATAGATACATAAGCAAAGATTTTGTCAAACAAACAGGGAGATTTAAAAAATAAATTTTGCCAGAGGATATGTGTGATTGTGTGTGTGTGTATGTGTGTGTGTGTGTGAAAGAGAAAGAGAGAGAGAGAGAAGGAGATAGAGAAAGCCGAAAACACCCCCCAGGGGGCGTGGTCATGATGCAGTCCCTTCCCCATTTTTCCCTGTTTTAAGGATTTGGGGTACACACGCACATGCATCCAGAGTGTTTTTCAAGTCACTGAGTGTAGACTCTCACCATGAAGTCAGCCACGTGGAGTCCAGGCACCATAACCCCCAAACCATGAGAGTGGCCCAGATTTTAAAAAACTAGTAATTAGCTCATATTTCTATTTCATATCAAAGATACATAATAGCAAATAGAACTTCTCATCAACATTAGTTGAATATAAAATCAGCTAAAATGTCCATCGTTATTATTAGAAGTTTTGGCTAGACATTTTTGAAATATTGAAAGGACCCTGAGGATTTTCAAAACTATATACTAGAACGATAGTTTCTAAGTATTAAAGTAAATGATAGATCCACTGCCAAAACAGAAGAAAAGATCTCATGTTTAACTTTTCATTTCAATGGGGAAACTATATTTAAGTTAATGTATTTTATATGAAATCAAAACGTTTCCCTTAAAGAATTCTCACTGTGTAACTCAATTTTTCCAACAATAAATTTGTTTTTGTCACTCACATGTCTTTCCTTGTTGCATAGTTTTCCCTTCACAAAAGTTTAGGATCAAACATTTAAGTCGTATATCCATTGTGGAATCACATAAATGGAACACACGGGTTCTATCATTCTTGTTCCTGAAATACTGTTACAACTTCCAGCTGTAAAAACTCCAAATTTATTATTTAAGCCTAACCTTTCTGGAATACTATAGATCATACCTTAAAATCTGACCCCAGATATGTTGGCCTGCTTATCAATAGTTAATGGCTTTGTGGCAGTTTTGTTATAGCTTTATTGTAGACAAGTCAAAGAGACTGATGGACATCCTTAAATTAGCATCAGGTAATAATTATATCATTTTATTAATGATGAAAACCTTTATTTTTTAATGAATGGTGTTTTGATGATTGTATTTGAGAGAGATCTGTGCTATTGCTGAACTTTTTAAATTCAGATTGAGATATTCAGAGATTGAAATAAGTGGCTGAAGATATTTTAAGTTTCCTACAACAGGAGGTATTTAAGGATAAACCTGAATATTTGGTGAAGATGATAAATAGACATTTAGTAAGGATATTTAAGAAAGGACTCAATAGTTTTCAAGATAATTTTATGAGACAGTTGGAGTTAGTGTCTTCGAATCCTGAAATTCATGATTTTGAAAGAAACTCAACACCAATTTTCCCATTTGGCCTCATAATTGCTCTAGTAGAATGAGGAGAGGCATCTGGGTTCCTTTTCTGGGATGACAATGACTATTGGTAAGCAGGCCAACATGCACAATTAAAATGTTCTGAATTTCAAAATGACTTTAAGAGTCTTGGAGACTGGTGAGCAAAGTATAATATAATGAACACTAAAGCATGATTCTGCTTTCCCCAACTTTACTGTCCAGGAACATAAAGTTTTCCTTATACCTGTTCACTCCTCTGGGTTAAGAACACAGGTGTGGTAAGCAGGCCAACATGCACAATTAAAATGTCCTGAATTTCAAAATGACTTTAAGAGTCTTGGAGACTGGCGAGCAAAGGAAGTATAATATAATGAACACTAAAGCATGATTCTGCTTTCCCCAACATTACTGTCCAGGAATATAAAGTTTTCCTTATACCTGTTCATGCCTCTGGGTTAAGAACACACAGGTGAGACCCTTAACTCCTGGAAGGTGTTAACAAAGTATACTATGGTTACCTTAGAAGAGAGAGCATTTATTAACCTGCTACAATAAAATTTATTCTCAGTAATGTATTCTCACTTTAGAAAGAATGGGAATACCAGTCTTAAGGAGTAGAATTTTCAATGGAATGTTGTAAGAAATTGGCTTTGGCGGCCTAACTGTTAGGCTAAAGGAAGGAGGAACTGCTGAGGTCCCTCTTATGAGGTCACATGGATCATCAGTTGGAGAATGATGTGCATTTAAAAGAGGAAAATATTTGATATGAGAAAATAGGTCAACCTACCAGTGTTCTTGTTTATTCATTTAGCTCTTATTTTTCCCATTTTCTCTTTCACTCTGAACTCACGGATCAGCAAACCATAGAAAAGGCTTTCCTTGAAATACTAGAATGGTATGTACTTACTATATGCACTGATATATGTAAGCATAATAATTAAATGTTCATACTTTGTATATATTTATAGTTATATTAAAACAGGCCCTATTTAAAAAAAATCACATACATTTTCAGGAATTATACCACAGAGATAATAATGCCCATGAGGTTACTGTTCATGAAGGATTTTTTTCCCCCATATTTGTTGACCTCACATCCATCTTCTTCCATGTCATTCTTCATAAGCAAGAATGGGAAGAAATAGAATGACTTTATTTAATTTTAATTTTAATATATTTAATTTAATTTTTTAACACATTCAATCATTACATATCACTTACCTTATAAAGTGAATTTTCCAACATGAATTTGAGAATCATTTTAATAAGAAAGATGAAAAGGCAGAAAAAGAGAATGTGAAGCCAAATAGGAAGATACACTACTAATCTTAAATATAGATAATAAAGCTGGTTGCTACTATGTTTGAAATTGCAGAAAGCTACACAGATCTCTAAGGCCTGGATTTTCATGATAACCAACCTTCTTTTGTGTCCCTTTTTGAGTTTTCATTTTTCTTAGTGAATTATCTCAGGATATGCTGTTTAAATTTCCAGTACTTGAAAGTGATTGTTTCTGGATTTTAGAGACAGAAGTGGAAATTTAAACAGTACTGGGAGTCAGGGAGAAGCTTAGCTATGTCTGTCTGTGGCTTTGTATTGGTGTGTATGAACCATACAGAGAGACATGGAGGAGGAGGTTTTCCTCAACATTGTAATTCTATTTTTCTTCAAACGTCAAGTGTCAAAAGCATGTCTGAAAGCATTTCCCTCTACTTTTCCATATATAATAAGGAAGGAAAATGAGAGGAAAAGTAGGAGGCATGGTAAGATGATGAAGCCTATTTCACCAGGTCAACTCTATTTTTTATTTCTTAAAGAACATCATGAAAAAATGTAAATTGAAGGCCAGTGATTAATCAACCTTTTTTCCTTTTTGAAACAGTAATTGCTAAGCAACATGGAAGATTTTAGGTGAAACCCTTAGGAAAAGATGTAGGCTTGGAGCTTGGTTGATCAGAACTTAAATTTTTAAAAATAGTAATAGGTAATATTGACCTTTATCTTATAACACCAATGCTCGTTTAATAGATTTTACTGAAAAGAGAAAGAACTTCTATGTCCAATATGCATTCAGTGGTATAAGCACTCAGTACTTGTTACGTTTCTCTAAAGAATAAGAAAAATATGTTCCAAGGGAATGTT